CAGTGCCTGACTCCAATCACCAAATCGTTGAATGCACAGAATTCTGTAAACAACCCTCCATTCTCGTTTATCACCTCACCGAACGCTTCTCGACCCATGATTATTTGTCTTCCTGTGTTGTCCACTCCCAGTTTAGCATTCATGTCACCCCACCAATTAGAATGAATTTTCATGTCACCAACTGGAGTGGGGTCTTGTCCAGTGTTGATTGCAGTTGTCTGTAGAATCCCTCCTTCTTCTTCTCCTCTTCATCTGCATTATTTGTAGGTGCACAGCGTAGCATTGTATGATTGTGACCTTCCTTCCTTTCGAGTTGAATCTGGCTGTCATAACCCTGATTCTGGAGGAGATTGGTTCCTACTGAATGAGAGAGAGAGAGCCTTCGATGCTGTTGGGTACATCATGATAGTCACTCCGTCAGTGTGCTGTGCTCGTGGTTGTCGTCTGGGTGACGATATTCGAGTAGATTATTGACTCCCCTCCAGTTGATAGTTTGGCGAGTCCACTTCCATTCCATCTGCTTTCGCAAATTCCAAGCACTTCAATGTGATACCTTCTCATCTGGTTTGCAATCTGGGCTGTCTTGCTGGGTTCAAACATTGTGTGGACATTCCATGTCTCCACGTTTACTTTTACTTTCATCGAGAGAGAGAAGACACATTGGCCGACTGACTTCTCGAAGGCTTTCACCAACAGGCGTCATTTCGCCTCTCCGATTGAAGCGAGGAATAATTTTGTTTTTATTTTTATATTTTGCTTGTGCTTTGAAGTTTTGTTTAGGGAATGTATTGGATTTTTGAGGTAGGGTTGCTAGCCGTATGCTCAACCTTCCCTCTTTACCCGTGTTTAGGACCGACTAGTAACTAGTGAATTAGTTAAACAGGCGAGGTTAGCACGGTATTAAGGGGCCGATTTTATTCGAAGCTCATTTCGTTTAGGTTCAGCCGATAAAGTCTCTGGACCTGACTACCATTCTCATTTTGACACTTTTGCAGGGCTTTTTTTCAGCAATGAATAAGCCTGATGCTATGAGTTATTCCGCTGATGAGCTAATTGTCCCATGATTCACCTTCTTGACTATTAGGTTATATATGTTGGTAAGGTCATGGTTAATATCCAGTGTCGTACTAGTTAGTCATGAAGTTAAATAAATTTCACAGCTTTCTGCCAACTGATTAGCAGCGTCTGACATCAAAATTCAAAGTCTTCCAGCTTATTATTTCTAAACTATGGGATATAACATTAGTTACCTTCCAACCATCAACCATGTGATACTCTTATCGTGGGAAACAGTTTTTGCTGTATAGATCAGTCAGGTATTAAGTATCTAAGAATAAAAAGCTTTTGTTTCGCTCTTTGATACGTCCAGATTACTGTTGATTTAGGCACACCTTAAGGTCCTTGAATGGCTCAGCAGGATAAATTTTAGTGGCGGAATAACAGATAACAGTGACCTATATATTTATAATGGAGGATATTAAAAAAATAGATTGATATTGGTTTATGAGATCTAATCAGTATCAACATATTAGGTTGGTTTTCATCATAGATTGATATCAGTTAAGAAACATTCAAAACCTGGTAGCACAGCTGTTTTGACTCATTGTGGGACTCCTCAGGCGTGCGTACCCATAATCCTGGCTTCGATCCCTGGTGGAGTCATGGCTGCGCACTGCTGAGGAGTCATACTAGGGCGAACGGTCTGTCCAGTGCTTCCAAGTTTTGAATGTCCTCCACCTTATGTCACTACATGAAATCAATAAGATTCCCACAATCCTCTTAATTGAGTAGTATCAACATATTTATCTTCGTTATGAGCCAAATCTGGCTGAAATATTATTGCGAAAGGAAGATTGACAGATATTTATTTATGCTTCATTTGATACGTAATGTTAATATTTACCTGTGGCAACCTCCAACAAGGGTAAATATTACAAAGACGCCACTCTACCCCACGAACCGGTTGAAAATAAGAATAGCTTGAAACCAGTGTCTTAATATGATAATTTGATAACCATCAGAGCAAATATCCTATTCCTGGATCATAGAATAAAGTGTATGAATTGGTGAACTATAAAACTAATTGTCGAATTCCCTACTAACTCAATAATTTTTGCAAGATATTTGACCACTCTCTTCATTGAGACATAAATAATATGGTAGATACAGGTTATGAATTCAGTATATTGTTTCTTACTCTCAGATGAAGGCTAAAAGCAGATGCAACCAAGATCACAGTCAGTACTGTAACAACTAGCAGTGAGTTAGCAATATACACAGAACTTTATGTATTATCTCCTAAATTCAGGATGAAGCTGAAATTGTGCAACTACAAACAAAGCCAGGAAACAGCAGTAATATATCACCTTAAGTTGTATCTGCCTGCTATGCCGAATCGCTTTTACTAAATGTTTTAGCCGTAGTTGTACTCTCATAAACAGCACTAACCAACTTGAATAAATCTGTTTTATGTCAGACAGCTTGTGCAGTAGATCAAACGCGTAATGAGTGACACACATCAAGTACGATAACTATCATCGTTTATACCCATAAAACAGAGCACGGAGCTATCCAAAGATTCATGCATTTTCTGCTATCCCGTTTACCTTCCATATTCCTCGCTCACTGAACATTTAAGTAAATTTTATTTAGGAAATAAAGTATTTTTCAGTTATTTAACGAGGTGTTTAAAAAACTGTTTCGAGATATAAACGTGATAACGACAAATGGGTGTAATGATGAGCAATGATTGGATGTATTGTAGTGAATAATCGGAGTGGAACGCCCAACAACACACACCTAAGTTAAAGCTTATACTGAAAGTTGTTGGTATACGTCAGCAGACATAGAAGAAGGGAAAATAGGATGAACACTGGAATATTCATCTCAGGAAACAACTTGGGAAATGTTTTCCTCCAAAGTGAACAGTACGTGAAATCTCATTACATGCAATCAAAACATACAGGGAAAAGGTTTACAAGGGAAACTGCAACCTCCATTTATTTGTGAAGATTTAAATAAATGCCGTATACATCATTAGTTTTCATGTTTATAGAACTCTGACACTGTTTTCTAAGGTGTTTCAGCAGTTTTACTTCATACGATCTATACAAAACAGCCAGATGCATAGGATATGCAGTCTAAAAACTCAAAGGAGGCTTACATAGTCTTCCAAAAGTTCACAAACGCCATGTTATCAGCAAGTATGACAGCAAGTGCTCATGCATAAACAGCACAGATACTTTTTTATCTTGGCGCAGTTAAGTTGATGGTTACAAATTTCTTCCTTGAAATTTTGTAGACTTGTTCAAGCGCCGAATTATCCTTTTACAGATCTATTCAAGCATATGATAGTTTGTTTAGGAGACCACGACCGGAATTTAAATAAGTGTGATTCAAAGAAAACAGAACGTGGTAATCTTTGAATGCTAAGGAAGAGTTAACGCAAAATCAAGTTGCATCAGCTGGAATGATGAACCTCAGTTAGTGAATGAATTCCAGAAAAAATTTAGATTTTATTATTCGCTTCAGTTAAGTGTTTTACCTAAATTCGCTACATCATCCCTCTACCAAAAAGTACAATGTTTTTGTTATCCCCATTAATGAAGGCGTGATACTGCGGTCAACTGGTCTAGACAGCTGAATTTAGATCAACATTTCAGTCGTTCGAATCCTGCCATACCTATCAAGGTTGGGGCAACAATGTGATATCCTCAGCCCTGACACAATAGCTCTGGCTCATTGATGTGCTCATAGTTGCTGAGAAACTTAGATTGCTTTCGTTAATATCAACGAAAGAGGTCATAAGTTACCATATATAAAAATCATGCTTATATGTTCATAATGGATGCTTCTTACGCTACTTGCACGAGAATGGCCTCCTCTGCACTGCTAAGAAATACAAGAAACATCATAGGGTGAAAGAAGTTTGTTTGGAATAAGTGCTCATTCAGTGCTGTTCCTACATCTGTCTGTTGCATTGTGGCCACACACCTGTTGTACGGTGCGATCATTAAGTGGAATTGTATTCGGAGTGTGTCGAGTAAATCTAAGCGGTTGCCGAACCTAATCGGGGACCGGTGTTCTCAATCCTTTTTCTTCCCTTATGTTTTAAACTATAGAGAGGATAGAGAAAGAATCAGAAGACGAAGATGAACAGTATCGTCACTGAGTACTGCTTCTGTTGACATAATTAACAATTCGACTGTGATTTTCTAGAGCCTACATGAGGAAGCTATTTAATATGGAGTCTGTTCTTTTAAAACTGTGAGTTCTCATGGTGGAAAAGTTGGTAAGAAAACAACTTTGCAGTGACGAACTTATGGAACTTATTACAACAGGAAGTGGTGTCATCTGTTGGTTCACTGTGATGAGGACTGAGCAGTTGCATGCATCACATTCATTCTCTTGAGCCTCATAGCTTAATTATTTAGTTCTCTGTAACTTTTAGCTGCACGGGTAACAACACCTGCTCAAAAAATTACTTGTGACCTATAACCAGCATACTGTCTACCAGAAAAACTTTATGAATGTTGTCACCCCACCAGGTCAACGCGTATTCCGACCAAAAAGCTTTATTTTCTTAATCATCGTTTAAACTGGATTATTTCTTCTCTGCCTAAATCAAGGTCACCACTACTTGGACCAACGAAATAGAAGTAACACCTTATGAAGTATATTCTTTACAACAATTGGCCAACCTTTTAAACCAATCAAATTTCTTGAGAATTTGCTGGCACGTGTAACCTACCTTAATCCACTATACTTGCCATACTTAAAATTTCTATAGTCAATGGTTATATTTTATCATTTGATTCATCTGTTTGAGTGAATGAAGAGTTATCATGATCCATCTTGCATAAAGCTTACTTCATCTGGTGGAAAAATAGAATCTCACTATTACACAAGTTGATAGGACTATAAAATTTTCAAAAATATTTCCATGCTGTAAATCGATGTATAGTAAAAAAAGCCATTCAAGTTTTTGACTGAATTCCATCATGGTTTACGGGAACGGAACAAACTGTGACAAATTATGGCGTGCATGGAACACAATACTAATCACCTTATTACATATATTTCTCATATATGTTGGAATTAATCGTTATTTGACATTTAAAACACAGGCATTTGATGCCAAATTCGGTGGTGCTTGGGATCAGTCATGTATGAACTTCACGTTGGCTATGCTTATAACAACACTGACATGTTTTTGCCTGTTCCTTTTTTGCAGTCTGATACGTACATCGAATTATGCAAATGAAGGGACTCAGATTGGAAGAGATACCAATAATTTGCATCTATTAAACTCAACATATGCTTGGAAGTCTGGATTACCTATGATGAAGTTAACTTCACTCACAGAACATCAGAACTGTGTTTATCCTAATGCTTCAAATATTAATGGGAATGTTATGCAGACGTTGGGTAGAAATGGTTATAATCCAGGAGAAGATGATCACGCTTCAGCTATTGGCACAGAAGATGTCCTACCGGGTCCTAATTTTGATACTTGGTCAGGACGTAGTGGAGTAAATCAAACTCTATTCAACGCTTATGGACCTAATAATCACAATCATAATAACACGTCTACTGCCCAACGTTTACTCACAATGAAAATACTCTGCATTTGTCTTTTAAGCATAGCTTTCACTTATTGTGGCAACGATTTAAACGGAATTTTTTACCCTATTCTGTTGTCTTACATTTGATTATGGCCTATTGCTTATTCATGCCTATACCTCTGATGCAAGCACAACAGATATATCATCGAGCATTGCCTATTGGTAAGTAGACAGAATAAAAATATCTTCACTTGCTAATGTATTGAATTAAACCGTTACTTATCTGTACCTAACATTTCAATGGATTTTTCTGTAAACTTGGTAATTCCTTCTTTTTTGGTGAACTAAGAGGCTGCATAACTTTCCAGTTTATGTGAATAAAATCAGTGGATATATTTTCCAGGCACTGTCTTTCTGAGCATTCTGTTGACTGACAGAGTTATAATGAAGCAGTAGGCTTAATGTTAGAATTTCATTGAATTTCAACAGTCAGTGGTTAAAGGTTACAGGTGACTTGGCTGCTAGATGTACCCTATGCACATGCACTCATTCTTTTTATATGAAAATAAAATGTTTTATTACTCTGTAGTTATTCATTACATATCTACTTTCATCTACTTCATCGACATTCTCAGTTTCTTTTTATTGTTGAACAGCTTGAAAACTAAAAGATCTATACTTCAGTGACTCATTCTACTATATTCCAGTCAACAAAAAATCCTTTATTGCCAGTTAGAATATTTTAATAATACTGATTTCAATTAGTTGTATTGAACGAGTGATTTTTGTATGTTTCAGCCTGTTCATCAGCTAGATACACTTGTATCCTAGGTAGGTGATGTTTCCGATACAACTCATAGTAAAGATGGCAAAGATATGTGACTGAGGATGAGGATGATGTCAATTGGTTATTCTCTGAGTCTTATTACTTTGTCATAGACGTTTCATAACCAGACTTAATGACACCACTTGAACTAACTTCTTCATGAGGTTAGAGCTAAGAATGTTAGTCATCCTCATATCATGTTGTTCATCCTGTTCCTACCGAGGCTCGAACCCAGGGCCCATCGCTTCAAACATAAAAGCGTTATCCACTAGACCACTGAAGTACGATGTCCAGCATAACAACGGGACATTACAAGTAATGCGAAGTGTATCGTGTGCAAAATATGTATTGACTAAAGTATTAAGAGAAACGTCATTCACTATTTTATACATGAGATGCTTTCAATAACGTTGTGACGTTGTCACTTCAGTGTTTATGACCCTTTTATTACACGTAAACTAATTGATAGTGTAATTTACAAGTGTGCGCATACTGTGCAGCAAAACATATGCTTACCTAGGTGATCATGACATTTAAAGGTCATCAATTCAATAAGATGTTGAAAAATCTTAAATCAACTACGTTTTTGAAAAAAAAACACAGAAGTAATCTTGTCATGCTTGACCCTGTAGCCTTAACGTAATACATGAAAACAACATGGTATACATACAAATCGGTAAGACTGTTGGAATGAACTTATATGCCTTAAATTGTACTTTCTTTTTTGAGAGCAGTTATTCTTGGGAGTGAACAATAGGTTGCTAGAAGTTATAAAACTAGTTCAGCATTAAATTACGATGAAATAGAATTATAAGGTAGTATTCATCATGAACTGGCATCAGTTGAGGAATCATTGAAAATCTGGGAGTAGTGGACAGGCATTTTCGCCTAGTAGGGGACTCTTCAGCAGTACGCATCCACGACCAGGCTAGGGATAGTCTTCAGTAGCTTCAAGTTTCACGGCATACTGTGTTCCGCTGAGGAGTCCCATTCTGGGACAAAACAGCTATACAGTGCTCGCACATTTTCAGTGGTTACTCAACTGATATCAGTTTGCGATGATTACTACCTCAACATTAAAATCCTCATTCATCTCAAAAATACAAAACTGAATTAGTCAATGAGGTAATACCTTGTATCGTATACCTGAAACAAAGTTTTTATTCGATAAGTAGGATAAATGAATTTATATCTGAGTGTCAGTTATTTCGACTTAAAATTGTCAAGGTTTGACGTAACACAGTCATCCTTCTACTCATACATTGTTCATAGTAGACGAGAATTTCGCCTAAACATAAGTTTAACATTGTAACTCTGAATGATATAAATTTAGTTCAAGGAAAGCAGTTTGTGTCAAAGGTGACTTGGGGGTGTATTGTATCCATTTATAAAGTTGACAACAGGCATATTTGGTCAAATGGATTCGAATTGTCCTTCTGAGACTTCGATTTACCAAATAAATCTTTACATTTACTGAAATCCTTACACCCAACGGTTCTACTAATGTTGACTAGGTTGGTGATGTAGTGTAGGACATACTATTTCCTAAATGGCTTTTTATACACAACCCAGAGGGGAATTCATCGAGTATAGGGACACTACATATTCAGACATCTCGCTGATATGATATCTGTACCTCAAAGACAATGTCACATAACATTTCATTCAACTAATAAACAAAACAATCTTATGTAACAAAGATTATGGCTATGGACAATTAAAAGAATAACATAGATTGCTTTTATTCGCTTCATCATCTAGCCTCTTAACAGGTTAAACGTTTAGTCATTCGTTTGAATGAAATCACCTTACGAACATATGACTATATATAACCTTAGTGAACTACTCGAAACATTGCCTTCTTAAGGGATAAAATCCAGTCATTAAAACTAATTAGGAAGTTGAGGATGTATACTGTTTATACCTAATATATATATATATATATATATATATATATATATATATATATATATATATATATATATATATATATATATAAACAGCGGCGCCTGGGCAAATTCCAGTTACCTTTTCTTTTGTCCTTTCCATTATCTATTTTTTCCCATTTCCGTGGGAAATACGAATTTTGTGCAATCCACTGTCACACTAAAATAAAAAACTAGATTCTACTGATATCAACAGTAGTATTGGCTATTTATCTATCCAGTCTATTCAGTTATGGTGTTGATCAAGTTTATGATAGTTCATTGTATCCATACTACTACTACTAATAATAATAATAACAATAATAATAATAGTAATAATAATGATAATAATAATGACTGAACAACTAGAATAGACAATCGGTTTTCATAGGGATAAGCGTGAACTGCACCCTATATGTTCATTTATTTATTTGTTGTGTTTCCAGTTCAGTATAAATCACGCAAATGTTATTCTTGGGAAAAAGGTGTGACACACTTTTCCCTTACACATACACAGCTATTTGTAAATGCTCTGAAAGTGAAGATTTTTGTAACAATTAATCAAAAGTGCTATTCTTTAACCAGAAATATAACTGAACTAAACTCTCCCAGCAGCCGTGAACTACTTAGTGAGCCATACCAACTGTTTGATAGCTAGTGATATATTCTGGTTAACCAAAATTCAATAGGTGAAGCAGGATTCGAATGTGCTACCGATTACTTGAAAGTCAAATGCTTAGGTCAGTGAGTTAGAGCTCTGTCATCCAGAACTACATTGTTTTGAAATTCACTGTCGCAGTAATAAAAATACTCAATATTAGTTAATGTTTAGTAATTCAGGTAAACTTTTGAAACGTTGGGATTACAGCTTGTCATATTTTCCTTCAGATTTATTATATTCAAGTGGTTTTTGGGGGTGAGATGTATTTCGATGTTACTCCTCCATTCTATTGAACGCTAGACAACTCCACTCTTGACTATCTCGTCTGCTGTCATATTTATGAACCAGGGGACCAGTGCATTTAGAATAAATCGCAGTGAACAGACGCCTTTTGTTTGTAGTTCACCGTCACTCAGCAACACTTTATTATCTTATAACAACCTTTCAGGCAATGCAACTGTCTGATCTGAACCAGCTGCACTTTCATTACTGTTTCCATCTCATTATTAGTGATCGTCCGCGGGATAATCCATCAAGAGATGAATGTCAAGTGTTCATTGGTTACAAATTTGCTGGCAGTAAACCAAGGAATGCCTTTCCTACGGAAAATATAGCAACTTTATAGAAGTACAGAATACTTTACCAGACACAGTGTTTTCTAAATCAGAGGCAACAAAATGCAACCGAACCAGCTTTACTCTTTAAGATTATGATTAACTAACAATTTGATAGGAGACAGTTCAATAGTATGTGTTCTATTTTATTCAACACCATTCGATGGGACGTATATTTACCATCTATGAAACTTATGCTAGATTTCAGAGCTGCGTTTATAAGTCCTGACAATCAATTGTTGTAGTCAGGTGAACCAGTTAGATTAGTGATCATTAATTGAATTTGATACTAGGAATGTGGTCAGTAATAAACACTTGGCACCGTAACACTATCTATTGTCCAGTAACGAAGTCACATCAGTTACACTAGTGACTTATGTTATTCGACTTTTCAACAAAATATTGACTGGAACACTTTATTAGCTGAAATGAGAAGTTGGGCAATATTCAGAGTTTTCATTGACTAAACGTTAAATATCATACAAAGTTTCACTGCATAAAATTCAGACCACTTACTACTTAACTCGTACCGTTTCAAACCAAGTTTCAATACCTAGGAATAACAATAACCTACACAATAATTTTCAGACGTTTTCCTCATTTTTCACCTAAGCGAATAATTTTTCGCGATTATACTTATAACAGGGTTCTTTAAGTTGACTTTTAAGTCATCTCTGTGAGATTTGATAGTTTTCAACTTATCATTTTGACTGAGACAGCCATGGTTTGGTATTCTAACATTGATAGTAGGTGATGGTTGGAAGTGAAATGAGAATTTGGACCCCAGCTAGATTTGAACCGGCGACCAGAGGGTTTCCGACCCGGTCCTGGACCAACTGAGCTACAAGGTCCGACTGCTGACCGAATTTTTATTCCACCTCAGTCACTAACGCTTTGCTCGACCACCATGTGAATTCATGACGCGTTACTATCGCTTGGACTTACTCATATTGGCTGCCTCCTCAGGACTTCTCATCATAATCCAAATCTAAATGAATTGGATGGGGGAGCATCATAGTGATCATAATTTCGACTATCTGAGATAGCCGTGGTTTGGCAGACTAGTGCTGATACTCACGCAACACCCTTGGTAATTGAAGTGAAATAAAAATCTGCTCACCAGTCGTACCTTGTACCTCAGTTGGCAGGGATCGGGCCGGAAACCCGATGGTCGCTGGTTCGAATCCAGCTGGGAT